AAAAATTAAGTACTTTTAAGTTTAGTCAAACCTGATGCATTTCATACTATTCAAATAAGTCATTCTTTAATCAATAAAATTATTTGTTATATAATAAATTAATTTGATTTTAAGTGAACTCTTTAATCTTAGTCATATATATGTGTGTGAAATAAAATATCTAATTTAGTAACTAGTTATTTGTGTATTATGAATATGAATAAAATAAATATGTAATTGTTGTAGAGTCTAAAATTAAATTTGAATAATTGAACATTGGGCTTCGGTTGGGAATGAAGTTAGTTGGGCTAAACTTAAATTTTGAATGGGCAAAATTTTTATTCTATTTGATTTCCATCATGAATTTGGGATAAATTTTCCACTTATACTTTTTTACAAGCCAATTTGCTTTTGGTATAGCCCATCCCAGCCCCCCTCTCCATCTGCCTCTGCCTACAGCTAAATACCCAATAACATCAGGAAATGATGAGGCTAATATTCTGTTTGAAGTTCCCAACATATCTGGAAATGCATGTACTTGCTTGGAGGACCAGAGACTCATCAAGATAACTATACAAGTTCCCAAAGCTTCAGCAACGACGAACCTCTGGAAGAAGGCTGATCTGGATGTGGTAGGAGGGTTTAAAAAATCCAGAATGATGTCTGAAATGAAAGTGATTCCCTCGCATCAACGTCATTCAAATTCTGAAGAGTATTCCGTAGAGGAAACAGGTAGTGGAAGAATTGGCTCGGCTAAAATAAGGGCCCGTTCATTTCACTTAAAGAAAAAACCCAAGAACAAATAAACAGGATTATACAGTTCAAACTTCTGAAGCATACCACCTCTTTTCCTCCAAATTTTGAGTAGCTACTTTTCTAGCATTTTATTCAGCTGACCAGGCCTCAAGTTGGCATGAGGTTAATGTCTTACCTGTCTCCATGAAATGATCCAGGCAATTTTGCTTCAACTCAGAAGCAACAGGACTCTTAAACTCAGAGATGAAAAGTGTAGTATTACGACACTTGCATAATATCCTGCCCCTTGTAATCAAACCATCTCTCATAACATAATTTTTAGCTTCTATAACTGGAAAACATCATTTATGGAAACAACACCTGAATGAGTTAGCCAGGATAACATAGGTCTCAATTTAGAAGCCGTCCACTTCTTTCCCATCAAATTCTTTTCACCTTGTTAACGCTTCTCGCAGGCAATCTGCAACTAACTTTTCGTTTCTTGTGCTTCCTCAAAGGCTTGAATTTGCAGGCTTTAAATATTAGTTATAATTAATCTAAACTTTAGTACTTAACTCCTAATCTAATTATGCTTGGCCAAATCCGATTTCATTATGATGGGCTGTGATGCCATTTATTTGATAAATCCATCTGGTCCACTAGGCAATGATGAAACTAGACTAAGCCCATTTGCTGGAATTAGTTTCTTAGCCATTGCCTGATAACACAGTGAAATTGGCCCAATACCCGACCCAATAAGACGGACACGTGTACTGCTCTGGACCATTGATCTTCAGGTGAATCTACGGTGATGGATTTGTGTATTTAAGGGGCCTTAAGAGTCACTTTATTCACATTATTCATTTTGCTTTCTTTGTGCGAAGCTTCTGGCTTCTTTGCGTGTTTCGTCTCTTCAGTCCCTCTTTTGATTCTTTGTGTATTGATCAAAACTTTTGGTTTTGTTCATAAATCTTTATGATTTGATTTTTAGTGAGTCTTCGATTGAGGGATTTGAGCCGTTAGATCAATTGTTATCTAGTAGCTGTTGTGTTCAATTCTTTAAGGTTTTGGGTCTTTGTGACCGTTTATTTTGTAGAGAAGGGTACAATGTTTGTTCTGAGCCCTATGTGATAATCGATGTCTTGGTGTTGATGAAATTTGGGTGTTCTTCGTGTTGATTTCCTGTTTTCGTTGTGTTTTGGCTCTACACATTATATTTAGGCTTATCACCAATTTTCAGGATAAATTTGATTAGAATGCATGAAAGATTAGTAATTCCATTTTCCCTAGGAGACTATGCCTATTTATAACCCATGTCGACATCAACTTCATCTTTCATACTCATCAGATTTATTTACAAAATAGTAGACACACTACCACCAGATTTTTATCTCTCATGTCTCACTTTTGTACATAAAATTATAAATTTTCAGCCCAAAACCCGGAGAAAGTGTACGTGCATACAGTTATAGTCCATAAATTTTAGTGAATTAAACGAGAGGATCGAAGATTTTATCTTCGTTTAAAGATTTTTTCAAACTTTACAGCTTTTCAATAACGAAGTAAGAAACTTCACTTGCAAGTGGTTCATTTCCTTATGTTTTTATATATTCAGTGAAATATGCATGAATTGTTGGTGGACCATCGAGTTTAACCTAACATAACGTGAACTCTTTTGGGTTATTTATAATGACAACTCCTCTTGGAATCTGAAAGGAAACAAAATGCGAAATCTTTCGAGAATTCAAAATAACTCATAATGAATGCCTCGCTTGATCACTGAAATGCTCCAAATGAAATGTGATATGAACTATCTATTTTATTGATTTATTTAATTGTATATGAAAGCTGCATGTATGTTACTGAGTATTGTCAAATACTCACCCTTACAAAAATTTATAGGTTATTGTTCAAGTATATCGGATATGTGGCACAAAGGTGATGCGTGTTGCCAAAGGGACTTGAAGATATAAAAGTATTAAGTTTTTCTATTTTTCAATGGATTATTTAGTTTTATTTTTGTTTAAAGACATGTTTATTTCGTAAGGGGGTTATTAATATTTTCGTTTCAAATAAATACAAACTCCATGTTTTGATTGATATTTACTATTGAAAATAGAATAATTAAATCTTTTTTAACTATTTTGCATTTACCTGAATAAACGTTTTAGTAACAATGTAGGATTTGTAAAAATTGGGGGTGTTACATGTTTCCGTGTGCACTTCTTGCTTTTTTTGGCTTTTATCGAGTATATGAGTATTGGTCTATGGGGTAATTAAGTTTTTTGACTATTCTATACATCGTTATTCAAGTTGGGCATGTGGATAATCTAGGAAACAACTTGAGGGGAGAGTTAAATTTATAGATGTTTTGTATGAGTTAGATTTCCATATATAGTTATAATGAATAGATGGTTTGTATGAGTTATATTTTCAAATAGAGTTAATTTAGATTTGCAGATGTATATAGTATATGCACACATATTTATATATACAAAATTGAGTGAGGCCTCCTCTAATGTTGTGCCTGAGGTGCAGGCCTCGCTCACCTCGGTCCAAAACTGGGCATCTGTATAAATAACCTTTGAATTTGATGAATGTACAATAAATTCAGCCCAAATTTGAATGGATACAAATGCCGTAGTGTATGCTTGCCACATGTTCCTTGTATTGAGTCCTATTCGGTCATCACAAAGCCCTTTGCTTGTGAGTTTTCGGGCCCGTTAAAAAGGGTGATAAAACCAATCATTTCTTCCTTTTCAGCTTTCCCATGGATTTTTATTATCTCTAAGCGTTACAATTCAAAATTCTAATTTCCGATCTTTAGAAACCTAATTTTACCGCAGTTTGAATGAAATGCGAAGTGAGTATCTTCTTTTATCAATATTTCTCTTTTTAATTATTTGTTTCTATTCTTTTGTTGGCTATTTGAATTTGGCGATGGGGGCTACGAAATTTGATGAAAGATTTGGTTTTGATTTTGGTTCATTTATAGATTTTGGTTCGAAGTGGAAGTTTTTGAGGTGGATTTTTCTCTAATTTATGGAAATTACTTATTCTGATGAATGGAGTTTTGCGTAGCTTGGTGTTTATCTGTTTTGTTTTCCTTTACTTTTGGCTTGAATTGCTCAGATTGAATACTTGATTTTTTGAACTTTGCCTGTAATTTTTAAATTTGCAGATTCAGGGGCACTTACATTTGTAAATTTAGATGCACAACCTAAGATCTAGTGGTATGTCTCAAGAAGATTCTTACACTGCTTGTAATGCCATAACATGTCTTTTACTTGAATCAACAGGTGATATCAACTGAAGGGAAATGTCAATCTGAGCCATGGTTCTGAAGCTTGTGGAATGGGCTGTATGTATAGCAATTTCTTTGCCTGCTTCTCAAGAGGCCATGAATGCAAGCTTCTAGTGATGGATCCTGCTATCAATGTTGAAGACCAGTGGGATATCATCTACCTGCCAAGCCTCGACAGAGGGACTCCTGCTTCCTGAAACAGGATGACAATGAATTATCAATGCCGATGGGTGATTGGCAGATGCAAGAGGAAAAGTAAACATAATCGGATTTGAGAATATGTTTACATGCCATCAGGAGGAAGACGAAGATGTGAATTTCACTGAGCTTGGTCCATGTGTGGTGAGAGTTCGATGACTGATGCCACTAAATTTGTGCAGGGAAATTATTCTAGTGAGTGGAATGATATGATTGTGTTATCAAACAGATTTTAAAGAGGTTGAAGAGAAACATGATATTTTAGAAACTACTGCTATGACTCATTTATGATATCGTCTATCTTCTTCGGGATCCCTTTGTAAAGGTATTGTTCCTTGACACAACAATTTGTTCACTTAGAAAAGGTATCATGGTTGAAGAGAAGAGAAGTTTGGCATATATAAGAGATGGTGGGCCTGCAGCTAAATGCCCAATAACATCAGGAAATGATGAGGCTAACATTCTGTTCGAAGTTCCCAACATATCTGGAAATGCATGTACTTGCTTGGAGGACAGGAGACTCATCAAGATTACTATACAAGTTCCCAAAGCTTCAGCAACGATGGACCTCTGGAAGGAGGCTGTTCTGGATGTGGTAGGAGGGGTCAAAAAATCCAGAATGATGTCTGAGATGAAAGTGACTCGCTTGTATCAACGTCATTCAAATGCTGAAGAGTATTCTGTAGAGGAAACAGGTAGTGGAAGAATTGGATCGGCTAAAATAAGGGCCCATTTATTCCATTTAAAGAGAAAACCCAAGACCAAATAAACAGGATAATACAGTTCAAATTTCCGAAGCGTACCACCTCTTTTCCTCCAAATTCTGTTCATATATCTCATCAACTGACCTGTTTTGAGTAGCTACTTTTCTAGCATTGTATTCTGCTGACCAGGCCTCAAGTTGGCATGAGGGTAATGTCTTACCAGTCTCCATGAAATGATCCAGGCAATTTTGCTTCAACCCAGAACCAGCATGACCCTTAAACTCAGAGTTGAAAAGTGTAATATAACGACATTTGCGTAATATCCTGCCCCTTGTAAACAAACCATCTCTCATAACATAATTTTTAGCTTCCATAACTGGACAACTTCATTTCGGGAAACAACACCTGAATGAGTTATCTAGGATAACGTAGTTCTCAATTTAGAAGCCGACCCCTTCTTTTCCATCAAATTCATTGCACCTTGTTTAGGCTCCTCGCAGGCAATCTGCAACTACCTTTTCATTTCTTGTGCTTCCTCAAAGGCTTGAATTTGCTGCTTGACCATCTCTCGGAAGATCTGATGGTTTTGATTTTTATAATTAGTGAAATAAAGAGATCATCATTAGGATGGCAAGAAATGATGATGATAATCCACAGAGAGGAAGATTACATGTGAGCAGCCTTAATTGGGGTGCAAAGAATTCAGTGGAATAGAAGTTGGCTTCCAAATTGAGAACTTTGTTATCCTAATTAACTTATTCAGGTGTGTTTTCACTAAATAAAGTTGTTCAGTTATGGAAGCTAAAAATTATGTGATGAAAGATGGCTTTATTACAAGGAGCAGGATATTATGTGAGTGTTGTAATATGGCACATTCCATCTATGATTTTAAGAGTCATGCTGGTTTCAAGTTGAAGCAAAATTGCCTTGATCTTTTCATCGAGTCGTGTAAGACATCAACTCATGCCAGCTTGAGGCTTGGTCGCTAAACGTAAGGCTAGAAAATTAGCTCCTCAAACTGGTCAAGTTGATGAGATAGATCAAAATGATGATAGTCGCGGGCTGTCGTGATGTCGGTGCACTTGTACGCTTTGCTAGCTGTCATGTGCGTTTCATCAGGCTTTCTTGTTTGAAAGGTTTGTTTTGCTTTCTCTTCTGTCCAATAGTTTTCATGTTCATTTTCTACTTTTATTAAATTTTAATGTACTTTCATAATATTTTTAGATTTTTTAATTACTGGAAAGAGCGCAATAATTTGTTTCCAAGCACACTCTACTGGTAACGTGCATCTAGTTGCCGAGTTTTATCAACGTCTAAGTATGGAAATGCATTAAGAGGTTTGTAGTCAACTTGAGCCCTACTGAAACTCAAATCATAATTTTGTTGGAACGAAGCAAATTGTAAATGTTCCTCGAATTAAGAAAATGAACCTTTTTTTACAGTGTTTCTGGGTCTCTTGCTTCCAGTGCAGCGTCAGTAATCCGAGTTCAATTGTTACTTCAGATGCTTAAGTGTTTGAAGGCCAGGGAGCTCATTTTAAGTGTTGTGGAGACATGGACGAAGGGCTTTGAGCAAAACTAACCTCATGCTTTTTTCGGGATCCTTATGGCTGAAGAAGCCTGTGTGTCAGATTACCACAAATCAATAAATGGTGAGGGTTCTTTGTATTTGATATTTTGTCATCCTAATTAAAAGAGCATGTTTGACGAAGCTTAAAAGTAAAACTTAAATAACATACCTAAACATGTTTGGAAAGTTAGTTAAGGCAAGCATCCTCTTTATAAATTTCCAATTGTTTAGTATGTAGTATCACCACTTTCTAGTAACATTTTCCTGAGTTGCTAGTTTTTTTTTTTTTTTTGGTTTTTTGTTGTGGTTTTTTTTGGTAGTTCTCATTGGGTGGCTTTTCGTCAGTTGTTGATTGGATTGTTTTTGTGAATTCTTCAAGTTTCAAACCCTAAAATGCTGCTTGGAAAATTTCCTGCTACAGATGTTCTTGGCTCACTTTTCGGTTGATTGTGGACGTGCATTTAGGGCTTCTACAGTGTTCAAAGATTCCTCACCCTTTTGTAGGTGTTGTTTTTGTATGTGATGTTTTTGCATGTTGTGTAACATCCCAAAATTTTATAAAATAAGATTATTTAGTGATAAGAATTTTGACCTAGACACCTTTTATGTATGAGTATGACATGTTGAGACACTAAGTTCAAAATAAGCGTTTGACGACAATAATTTATTTGGGTCAAATAGTTAATTTTTGAAGAAGTTGGAATTATCATATCAATATTTGGCTCATTGGGTAACTCATATTTAATCATGTATATTAGGCTCAAGAAAAGTTAATTTAAATAAGATGGGATCAAGTTAGAGCCAATGAAAGAAAGTTATAATTAAATGAAATTTAAAAGGAATTAGTTCTATTTGATTAAAAAGGTTATGGCAATTGATGTTACAGTATATTTTAAATATTAGTTATAATTAATGTTATAAATTACAGATCGCAAGATAATGACGATAATGAAATAAAGATGCGGAAAATAAGAACTCGTGAATTTTAGAACACGATAATTCACTATAATGAATAGTTTTATGTTTACAATATCAATATTTCAATAATCTCAATTGAAATCTAAGCTCTCTTGAATGTTGTATGAATGTTTCTTTCTCTTCTCTTAATGTATACATTACAAGTCGTGACATATTTATATAAACCCTAGAGATAAGTTGTAGGAGAATAGGAGTCCAAAATTGCATAAAAAAAAGGAAACGGGCTTGGGCTGGATGAATTGTTGCTCGAGGGACAGTGATAGTAACAAGTGGGAGACGAACTCTTGGGTTGTTTTCCACTGAGCTCGCTCGATCAGCGAGCTAGAGCTAGGATAGCAAAAATGCGACGACTTTTTTCTTCGGTCCATAATTTTGATCTCTTCAAGACCACTCCAATACCCATTAGAATTTGGGTTAAACAACAAATCTCCACCTTGAACCAAATTCCATCACAAGGAATTTCAAGTCACAACTCCATCAATAAACACCGCTCTTTCTCTTCCAAACAAGCCCCAATAAACTAAATCAATGACAAACACCGACTAACTTCAAGCAATGTTCAAACTTAACAATATGAAGTTCTTTTGTCATCATATCAGCAGGATTATGACTGGTATCAACCTTGCTCACTACAATATCACCACGCGCAATCACATCACGCACAAAATGATACCTCACATCAATATGCTAAGTCCTCTCGTGAAACATCTTATCCTTAGTTAAGAAAATTGCACTCTGACTATCACAAAATACTGTAGATATTTGCAAGTCTTCACTGATTTTACCAATCAATTCCCTCAGCCATATAACCTCCTTACATGCCTCTGTAATGGCCATGTATTATACTTTTATTGTAGACAAAGCTACTATATTTTGCAACGTAGCTTTCCAACTGATAGCACAGCTTCCAAGGGTAAACACACACTCTATAAGTGATCTCCTCTTATCAAGATCCCCTACATAATCTGAATCCACAAGCATTTGAATAGCCCCTCAAGTATCTAAAGATCCACTGCATTGCTTCCCAATATTCCTTGTCAGGATTAGCCACGTATCTGCTAACTGCACTAACTGCATGTGCCAAATCAGGTTTTGTACAAACCATAATATACATGAGCGAACCAATTGCACTAGAGTAAGGAGCCCGAGTCATATAATCAATATCTTCATCTGACTGCGGACACAAGTTAGATGATAGTTTGAAGTTGGCAGCAAAGAGAGTGCCAACCTTAGCTTCCACCATATTGAATATTTCAAACACCTTTTCAATGTACCCTTTCTAACTCAAATATAATTTGCCAGCCTTTCTATCACTCAAGATCTCAATTCAAAGATTCTTTTTAACTGCACCCAAGTCCTTAATGTTAAACTCCTTGCTGAGTTGTAATTTTACTCTTTTTGCATCTACTTTATCCTTGGCTGCTATGAGCATATCATCAACATATAACAACAAATATGTAATTGATCCACCACTTTCCTTTCTGAAGTACCCACAACTATCATAATTTCATCTATCAAATTCATGAGCAGTCATGAATGAATCAAACCTCTTATACCATTGCCTCGGAGACTGCTTTAATCTATACAAATAACTGCACTAACTGCATGTGCCAAATCAGGTTTTGTACAAACCATAATATACATGAGCGAACCAATTGCACTAGAGTAAGGAACCCGAGTCATATAATCAATATCTTCATCTGACTGCGGACACAAGTTAGATGATAGTTTGAAGTTGGCAGCAAAGAGAGTGCCAACCTTAGCTTCCACCATATTGAATATTTCAAACACCTTCTCAATGTACCCTTTCTAACTCAAATATAATTTGCCAGCCTTTCTATCCATCAAGATCTCCATTCAAAGATTCTTTTTAACTGCACCCAAGTCCTTAATGTTAAACTCCTTGCTAAGTTGTAATTTTACTCTTTTGGCATCTACTTTATCCTTGGCTGCTATGAGCATATCATCAATATATAACAACAAATATGTAATTGATCCACCACTTTCCTTTCTGAAGTACCCACAACTATCATAATTTCATCTATCAAATTCATGAGCAGTCATGAATGAATCAAACCTCTTATACCATTGCCTCGGAGACTGCTTTAATCTATACAAGGATTTTTTCAACAAGCATACATAGTCTTCCTTNACACATAGTCTTCTTTCTTTAAAGCCATGAACGTCTCTGGTTGCTACATGTAGATGTTCTCCTCAAGTTCTCCATGTAAGAATGATATCTTGACATCTATTTGCTTAAACTCCAAATCATTCTTAGCCACCACTCTAAGTAAAACCCAACTAGAACAATGCTTCACAACTGGTGAGAACACATTTGTAAAATCAACATCCAAAATCTGACTGTAACCTTTTCCACCAATCTAGCCTTGTATCTAGCATCTTCAATCCCTGATGTGCCTTCATTTCTTTTGAACACTCATTTACAACTAACCACCTTTTTACCTTTAGGAAATTTTACCAAGTCCCAAGTGTTATTTTTGTTCAATGACTCCATCTCCTTCTGCATTGCAATCATCCATCTGCTAGAATCATAGCAATTGACTGGCTCTGAATATGTAGTAGGCTCCTTTGTGGAATCAATGTCTTCAGCCACACTCAATGCATAAGCTACTAAATCTGCTTCTACATACTTCTGTGGAGGTCTAATCTGTCTGGGAGGTCTATCCTTAGCCATGGAATACTATGGTACTGGTGGTGTAGGCAAAGTAGGCAAGATATTACTTTCTGTCAACCCCGAACTAGACTGATCTATAGTAGAATGTTTTGCAACCTCTGACTGTTCCTCTTAACCAACTTCCAAATCTACCTGAGTTGAATGATTATGTTCACCAGTTTAATCATAATCCCCAAGAGGTAAACCACGAATCATAGCAAGTTCATCAAATATTACATTCCTACTAACAACCACATTTCTACTTCTGTTGTAGACAAAGCTACTGTATTTTGTAAAGTAGCTTTCCAATTGATAGCATAGCCTCCAAGGGTAGCTTTCCATTTGTAAAATCAACATCCAAAATCTGACTGTAGCCTTTTGCTCAATGATTCCATCTCCTCCTACATTGCAATCATTTATCTGCTAGAATCACAGCAATTGACTGGCTCTAAATATGTAGTAGGCTCCTCTGTAGAATCAATGTCTTGAGCCACACTCAATGCATAAGCTACCAAATCTGATTCTACATACTCTTATGGAGATCTAATATGTCTGGGAGGTCTATCCTTAGCCATTGAATACCGTGGTACTGGTGGTGTAGGCAAAGTAGGCAAGATGTTACTTTCTGTCAACCCTGAACTAAACTCATTTGTAGTAGAATGTTCTGCAACCTCTGATTATTCCTCTGAACCAACTTCCAACTCCACTTGAGTTGAATAATTATGTTCCTTAGTTTAATCAGAATCCCCAAGAGGTAAACCATGAACCATAGCAAGTTCATCAAATATTACATTCGTACAAACAACTATATTTCTAGTCGCGGGACACACAACTTTTCTTGTTTGAACAATTTTGTTTTTTGCCCTTTTTTTTTGTATCCAATGGTTTTCGTATACCTTTTCTCCTTTTATTAAATTTTAAAGTATTTTCCTAATATGCGTCTATTTGTCGTGTTTTGTCGATGTCTAAGTATAGAAATGCTTTAAGAGGTTTGTGTTCAACTTGAGCCCTGTTGAAACTCAAATCATAATTCAGTTGGAACAATGCAAATTGCAATGGTTCCTGGAATTAAGAAAATGATCTTTTTTTCACAATGTGTTTCTGGGTCTCTTGCTTTCGGTATGCATGTTAGTAATCTCGGTTCGATTGTTACTTTAGATACTTAAGCAATTGAAGGTTGAGAAGCTCATTTTATCCGCCATTCCTAACATATAGTGGAGACATGGACAAAGAGTTTGGAGCACAACAGACATCATGGTTTTTCCAAGATCCATATGGCTGAGGAAGCCTCTGTGTCATATTACCACGAATCAATAAAATGGTGAGGGTTCTTTGTATTTCATATTTTGTTCATCCTAATTCAAAGAGCATGTTTGGCGAAGCTTAAAAGCAAAACTAAAATAACACACCAAAACATGTTTGAAAAGCTTTTAAGACTAGAATCCTCTTTATCACTTCCCAATTGTTTAAGATGATCTCCACTTTCTAGTAACATTTTCTTTGGTCGCCAGTTTTTTTGTCAGTTTTTGGTCGGGGTTTTTTGGGGTTGTTCTGATTGGTGGCGTTTGGTCGGCTGTTGATTGGGTTGTTTTAGTGCATTCTTGAAGTTTCGAAACCAAAACTGCTGCTTGGGAGATTTGCTGCTACAAACAAAGTTGGTTATTTTGCAACCTCTAGTTTTTATATTGTTCTCTGATGTCGTATTGTGGCGACTGTTTTTCTTCTCTTTCTTTTATTTTCCTCGTAGGTCGCGACCTTCCAGGATCTATTTTCTCTCATGCACAATGCATTTCCTTGGTTGACCCAACACTTTGGTTGGGCCTAGGTATTGTCTGACCCATTTACTATTTTTTGTACCAGATACCCTTCAGCAGCCTTTTATGAGTTATGTGCAGCCCTTCGTATTAGTTGGCCTATCACTCCAGGTTCTGACAAATCAGATATATATCTTTTGTCACGAATCACTACTGATTCGTGACAACTTTCTATCTTCGGGTTCTGCGGGAAGACTACATCCACAGTGAATAAAACCATGTGCTTGCAAGAGGCATGTTCTTGGCTTACTTTTCGGTTGCTATGGATGTGTGTTTAGGGCTTCTGCAGTGTTCGAAGATTCCTCACCCTCTTGTAGGTGTTTTTTTAATGTAATGTTTTTGCACGTTGTGTAACATCCAAAAATTTTATAGAATAAGATTGTTTATTGAGAAAAAAAATTGACCTAGACACCTTTTATACATGAGTTTGACATGTTGAGGCACGAAGTTCAAAATAAATTTTTGACGACAATGATTTATTTGTGCCAAATAGTTAATTCTTGAAGGAGCGAGAATTACCATGTCAATATTGGGCACGTTGGGTAACTCATATTTAATCATGTATATTAGGCTATTTTGAAATTTTGGGGGACTAAAGTGATATATGTATGAAATTCAAATTTTTGGACCAAATATTTAGATATTGATAAAGCGATGAAGAGTATATCAATATGAGTATCGTTGGATAGTTCATATTTAATCATGTATATTAGGCTAGAAAAGTTAATTTATATAAGACCGAACCAAGTTAGAGTCAACCAAAGAAAGTTGCAATTAAATTTAAATCTTAGTTATAATTAATCTAAACTTTAGGAGTTTACTCCTAATCTAATTATGCTTGGCCAAATCCAATTTCATTATATTTAGGCTAATCACCCATTTTTTTGGATTTATTTATTTAGCATGCATGAAAGATTAGTAATTCCATTTTCACTAGCACACTATGCCCGTCTGAACCCCATGTTGCGCCAACTTCATCTTTCATACTCATCAGATTTAGTTAAAAAATTCATACACGCTATTGCCATCAGATTTTTATCTCTCGCGTCTTCATTTTGTGCATAAAATTATAAAATTTCCACCCAAAAACCCATAGAAAGTGTACATGCATACACTTATAGTCCATAAAGTTTTCAGTGAATTAAACGAGGAGATCGAATACTTACTTTCGTGTCAGTGTTCATTATTATTCAGAGCTAATATGCACTGGGGATTAAGTTCAAATCTCCTCTATCAAGACTCTCTTCTTCCTTAATTTCAACAATATTTTCATAAGAAATATATGAAAAGTATTTCATCGAAGCACGTGAAGGATGTGGAATTAAACTAATTAAAAAGCAGTTCAAATCATTGATCATAAAATCAACACACCTTGTTCCGAATTATCATATTAGAAATATAAATAAAAAATCAACAAACTTAAACTTTTTGACAAAGTGATGTAGGATTTATTTGTGTTTTTGGAAAGTCAAAAACCGCTTTCGAAATTAAGAAACTATTTTTTGAACATTTTTGAAAAGTTTTCTGAAAACACTTTCTCTAACTAAAAAAACTTTTAGAATCAGATAGTTTCTTTAGAAAACTCTTATACAAGAAATAGAAACAAAACAGAAATTTTGTCAAACGTCCTTACTGTGCCCTATAAAAGTTCTCTGATTGAATACTTAGTTTTTTGACCTTTGCCTGTGATTTTTACATTTTCAGATTCAGGGGCACTTACATTTGTAATTTTAGATGCACAGCCTAAGATCTGGTGTTATGTTTATCTCTTACCTAGTGAGATTAAAATGGAAAGTACACTTGTGATATAATGTAGATTTTAGTGTATTTACTTGTTTTAGGCATTGTAAGTTCATGGTAAATTAGTGTGACACTTGCGGAATCTGTTATGTGGCATTATCATTGCTGTTTTACTTTTTGGAAGACTCAAGATTTCACCTATTATGTTATAATCGCTATTGAAAGAATACTAGAGATATTGCATGGCGAGGTGGGATTGAGGATCTGTAAGGTGGTTTTGTGGGGTCAGTCAATGAGCAAAGGATTTTCGCAAGGTGTTCTTTAGAAATGACACAGTCGGTAGTACACAATGCGCTGTTAACAGTGGTAAAGGATGTGTTTGTTGTTACTGGTTCTGTGCTCCATAGTGGAAACTCTTCAACAACGAGTCAAGATGATTGCTTTGATGCGAAAAAAGAATTCAAGGGGAAAACTCCACTACAATGTCTCAAGAGAACTTAACTTCACGAAATCAAAGTAATCATGAAACAAAATTAGCTGTTGAAATTCTTCCAAATGGGAAAACTGATTTAGGGGATAGCTTGAATATGTCTGTCTACGAAGGAGTTGTTACAGTTATGTCTAAGGAAGATTCTTACGCTATAACGCTATAACACATCTTTTACTTGATTCAACTGGTGAGGGGATTATATACTGTCATCATAAACTGAAGGAACATGTCGATCTTGGCCAAGTTTATGAAGCTAGAGGAATGGATTGTATGTATACCAATTGCTTTGCCTTCTTCTCAAGATGCTATGCATGCAAGCTTCTAGTGATGGATCCTGCTATCAATGTTGAAGACAAGTGGGAAATCATCTACTTGCCAAGCTTCAACAAAGGGACTCCTGCGTCCTGAATCTGGATGACGAGGAATTATCAATGCCGATGTTAGGTTGTCGCTCGAGCGAAGGCGAGGCGACAGTCGAGCGATGAAGTTTCTGTTTCTGACGCTTGAACCAAACCTTGGCGAAAGTGAAGCGAAAATTTGCGTCGTTTTTCCTTCTTTCCCATTTTGAACCCTAGACCTAAAATATCATAACTTTCACTAATTACGCACTACTCCTTGACTTTTTACAACGTATCAACTTTAGTCTTTTTTGTTCATAGATTTGTCAATTACATTAAATACCTAACAAGCTCCCCCTTTTACATTATGTGACAAAACTACAATCTAAGTCAAGGCTGAAGTAAATTAAAATTACAGATTGAAATCTACTGACACAACCAACAATTGTCTTGAACAAATTCTGCATTTCATTTTTCAATACCTATTTCCGGAAATAAACAACTCAAAAAATACCCAGTGTATAATGTATGTGAAACAGTATTAAATGTAAAAATAGTTCAAGCAGTTCACAGTGTAAAAGTGATTTAAGCAGTTAATAACTCATAATGCAAAATTTCTAGTTTCATATCATATGCTAAATTAAGATGTATTATCAATGCAATCCAACATACCAAAACGAAATATTGATACTACTAAAACATCAAAACTTAATCTAGCAAAAATTGAAAATATATCATATAATCAAAATCAAATATTTTAGATACATCAAGTAGATAAAAACATACTGTTGAAATATCTACTCTATACACATCTACTCCCCATTTTGTTACAAAATGACAAAGGGTAATCCAAAACTAATTAGCACCGACAGCAACGTTAGAATCAGCCCTCTCCTCTGAAGCTGCATCATCATCCCAGTGACGATGAATCCATCGAAATCCACACTGAAGATATCCAAAAGTACCCCGAAGCATAGTAAACTCGGTAGTGTGTCGATGAACTATAGCCCGTAGCTATGTAAGCTCGCCATCATCCGAGCATCCTGCTCAATCAGTACGGTCGTCTGCCCAATAAGAGTGGTAATAGACGCAGAAGGTAGAATAGACTCAAAAGGAGAAGGAGCAGGCATGGATGTCGAGGGAATATCAGTGGGCAGAGGAGCAGAGAAAGTAGGAGGGAAATCAGATGGATGAATAGAGAGAAGATCATCAAAAGGATCAGCTGGCACAGTTGGATCAACTGACTCAGTTAGCTCAGAAGAAGCATGCGACCTACTCTAAGCAAAAGTAGTGTGGCCAATTGGTAAAGAAACCTTTCGAGGAATCCCCTTGGGAAAACTAATGCCTAATGCTGACACAAGACAATAAATAAGACATGTATATGGAAGTCCCACCCAAGTCCTTGTGACATGAAAGGCACGTAAGATCTGCTGACATATGAAAGTAGGCAGATTAATAGAGTCGCCATGCAAAAGGGTGTACAAAAATCGTGCCCTCTCCATAGGTAAAGAAGAGGTATACGACATTGGCCACAGATTTGTGCACACAATGCGTAATAAAATCTGTCGATCAGTGGGAAGAGAACCAGTGCGCATCGCACCTGACCACCCTCCAACGGTGTGTGAAACACCGTAGAATGAATGAGAGAGTCCGATGGAAGTGTCCCAATAGACAGATAAGGAAATAATGGGTGAACAACCTTAGGAATATGAACAAGACTCGATATGACATCGGGAGTGATCCTAACTGCCTACCTCGAAGGAAAACCTTAAAAGTCAAACGATAACATTATGAATGTTAGCGTAGAATTCCTGAACAAGAAGACTAGAAGGAGGGGTCAACTCCACCAATAAACGTTCCCAACCCCGAGAAATGAAAATGATAGCGAAGTTAGGTGACAGGTCAGACATAATGACCTCGCGCTCAAACAAACGTGTCTCAATGAAAACTGTGACCCTAAAGTATCATGTGCAACGACAGAAATAAACCTAGACCTACTGAAAGAAGTGGAGGTACTAGGACTATGAGTGACAGTACGAGCTCTTTGAGGCAGTATTTGAAATGGTGAAAACCAATATATCAATACTACGACCAAACAAATGAGATGTATGACACGCATGAAAGCACACAAAGCGAGACAAAAATGCATATGCACTGCACTTGTGAATGAATGTACAAAGAGATGCCGTGAAGCCTAGACGTAGGTGACGTGAAGACATGATGTATGTCATGATTGAATGCCTCAGTGATGTGACAACCCCACATGGGGCCAACACCAAAACGAAACCAAGACTATAACTAGAACTAGAGAATCTGTGAGCCCTGCGTCAATAACGGAAAGCAAACATCACACTCCCAATCTATAACTAGACAATTCAAAACAACACATCTAAAATGACTAACCGCAACACGATCAAATGTGGGTACAATACAACTAACAAAATCACCACTCCAACCAAAAACACCACCATCACAAACCATCAACGACCCACAAATCAAACAACACAAAAAAAAATCAACAAGACAAACTCACAATCAAGCAAAAAAGTACCAAAAATGAAAATTAAGCATCCAATGTCTCCAAAACTCCAAGGCTCAAATCATCAACATGCAATGAAGCATCAAAACCAAAAAAAAAATGGAGAAAAATCGTGGGAAAAAAGTCCAAAAATTCAATTTTCGTTGCAAAATTGTAAAAAATGATGACATTATATGTTAATCAAGAAGAATATGAAGTGTAAATGCCAGAAATGTAAAGCAACAATGGCAAAAATCGAACCAGTCCAAAATAATTGCAAACACAAAGAAAAGAAAAAAAAAGTTTAAGCCATGCACCTTCAATGAAAGTGGAATCAATGAATTTGGACCACAAAGAGTTGATTTGAGATGATGAGAGCTTGCTGAAACTATCAATTTGACGTAGGTGGGTGAATTTTGAGAGAAATCAAGAGGAAAAATGAGAAGAAATGCGAAAAACCCTGAAAAATAACGATAAAATTCAAAAAGACGGCATGTTGCTCGAGCAAGGGTCGAGCGAGAAGCGAGCGAAGGAGCTTGGGCTTCTATTGCTCGAGCGTTGCTTAGCGAGAAGCTAGCGAAAAACTTATTGACAAACATAGCACCTTTTTTAAAAAGAAAATTTAATGAATTAACCATGGACAACCAGATGAACTCAAAAAAAAATTCATGTGCTCACAAGAAAAGCATTATCTATAAAAGTTTCCTACATACTCAATCTAGTTCAAAATAGAGTAAAGTGTATAAGAGACTCACGCATGTAAAGTGCCACTATGTTCTTGTGAACATGACTCCAAACCTTAAATTTGTGAGAAATGATATGCGAACATCATTGTTAAACAAATATTTTCCTCACTCATGAAATTCAAACCCATACAATTTTTTGGACCTAAAAATGAGCTCAATTACATAAATATTTTTCTTTTCTCCCCCTGAATTTAAGCATATAATTTTTTATGTCGCTTTCTCAAATATTGCATCTTATGCGTAGACTCATGTCCATTAAACAACTACATTGACCCATGTAATGAGCTTTATGCCGGTTAACCCAAGTCAGTTGACCATAGGCACTAGCTTATAAGAACCCCTCGAGCTTAATTGCTCGAGTCAAATAGGCTTCGTACACAAGTATAAGATGAACCAAACTATTTTATATTATATTTTATTTTTAAATAGTACGGGGAGATACATCATGAGCTAAGGTCAACTAAATGTAGGTCAATTCACGTTCAAGGTCACCTTATCAACAGATAATAGCCATCTCAAATCTCACACATGCAGTCCAGACTCACTCACCAGATCACAGTGTGTGCCGTGTAGATTGTACATGAAGAAACTTATACTCAATACTCCATATTAAACCAAACCAAGTAATGAAAATGATAATACAGAACAGATAAATGCACACTTGGTCACAAATGCAATGTTCAAGAGCACCATGAACTGTCTAGAACAAAAAAAAACATTTTATTTATTTATTGTTAAAAAATATCAATACCTAAAGAAAATAAATACAAGTCGAAATAAAACAAAACACAAATATGAGATGCATGCACTAATGAATGAATTCAATAAATTGAATATGCATGCATGGAGAACCATGGATACACTTACCTTTAAGAGCATAATCAATCTCATGACCTTCCAGTTCACTCTTTTTAACCCAAGCTTACTTAGAAGTAGAAGTGATTTTAGTTAACCGAGTCATCATCTCGGTTA